ACATAATTTTAACTGTGCCCAAGAAAATCTTTAGGGCTATGATCATATGTTATTTCTCAAATTGTATATATTAGCTAGCAGATTCTGCACACATGCCTACAGTTTAAAATTTTTTATAAATAAAATATTTTGAATTGTAGTTGTGCGCGCTGAATTTGCTAGTGTTGTGATCTGTTTGCTAAATAAACAAGCTTTTGGTAAAAAGGTTTATGCATAAGATGTGCACAGAGCCCTTATATTCTTCACTGTTCAATACAGTAGCCACTTTTCATGAAATCTACTTCTCCCTTGCACGTCTCTCTTCACTCTTGGAGTTATCGGCATCCCCTGTGCAGGTAGATTAACCATATGATTGTGGCTAGGGATGCAAGGTTGTTTTTGTTCTAGCTGCCTTCTTTCTGTTCTTAAAAAGTTTCTAAAAATGTTGTCAGTTATTCACCATATACAGAACACACAGTGATGCAATATAAAACATTTTGGGATGTTCTTCCATAATACACACCCACTGCTTTCTGTCTGCTGAATACTATAACCATTTTGATCTTGCAGGATCATATTTTCATAGTGTTCCATGCCACTGTGGTTTCTCTCTTGCTGTGTGTGTACCATGTGTAATATGCTGTTAAGAGCTATACAAAATAGAGAACAAGGAGATTTACAACACCGTGGTATTACATATAAACGTGATATATGAATTTACTACCGATTTACAAAGAATGTGGTTCTGCTGGTTGCATGCGTAGTAGCACTTACTAATATGAGTAGTCCCATTGTCCCTGCATAAGCAAATGTGGAAGAATTAGGCTGAAAATAAGAGATTAAAAACATTGGGTTTTCCAAAGATTGGGTTACTTAATGAACAGCCATTGACCAAAACGGGGAGATAGGCAAGTGCACCTTTGTCTTCACTTAAAAATCCACATATTCCAGTCCTTTGTCTCTGTTGAGAAGGTATAGCCTATTATACCAAGTTATGCATTTGGGGGGGGTGGGGAGGGGGATGAGACAAGAGTGTGAGCAGTAAATAGGAACTAGAAGGGTAATTAGGATACAGTGAAAATTATTCCACATGTGAGCAACACAGAATTTTAACTTCTAATTTTAGACATGAAGGTATTGAACCCTGTATCCCATTTCAGCACCAAACCAAACCATTAATTTCAATTTGTTGTCTCATTATAATTTTGATATGAATTCATTCAGACTTCCCTGGTTTTTCAGTTGAGTAGTTATGACACTTACTGACTTTTTCCCCTTTACTAACCTAAATCATTTAAAAGTTGATCAGACTATCATAAATCACTGTTCAATTGTTTCAAACTGCTTTGGAGGACTCTTATTTTCCTCAAACTGTGTGTTATATTTAAGTCAGTTTTTTTGCGACTGAAAGGCCCTGATCCTGCAAAACTTAATGTGTTTTTAATTTACCTGCTGTGTTGATGTTATTCTTTACTTAAGGCTTTATAAGCCTGCTTAACTTGCAAGATCTAGGCCAAAGACACTTGTTTGTTAGAACTAGAAACATACCCAGAGTCTGAGCTACAAATGACTATAATCATTTTTCTCTTGATTTCTCCCTCTCTCCATTCTTTTTCCCAGTGTAGTACAATAAAAGCAGCCTTATGCATTTTTAGGCTTTTTAATATACCTTTTGGGGATAGACCTTCAGGTCTCGTCCAGCACTGTGCTCTGTGCGTGTGTGTTTAAGGGGAAGAAAATTGTGGTATTTGGGGCTTAGTGCTGTAGTTTTATCTGACAAAACATCTTAATTTAAGCTTTTGTATGTAGATCCTGTCTAATTGGGAAGTGGTCTGTGATATTTATACTATGCAAGAGGCTATACAAAATTAAATAATTACCCTTACCTCTTTCAGTAAAAAAATCTTTGTTTTACAAATTTCTCTATCGGCCTTACAATTTTATCCCTAAGTTTATCCCTTTCTGAAATTTTGTTTCTTTTTGCAGTCTTCCTAGCAAGACAAAAGAATCGTCTTCTCCATCATTTTAGCGCTGGGGGGGGAACCTCCCCCAATATTCTGAATGACACAGTAAATATTTTTTACTTATGATTTAAAATGTTGAAAGAGAAGTGAGTCAGATTTTACATAGGCTGAATAAATATTTATTTGGACACACGCGCGCACTGTCATACTTTGAAATTGGTGGTTAGTTGAAAGATTGCACTAGTTTTATTGTTAAAGATGTTTGCATAGCATCTGTCCTGTAATAAATAAAAGAGTATAGTCCTCTGCATTGCCATTTAAGCATCACAAATACAGTATAGACAGCTTTCAACTCTTTGGAAAGGAAAGCTATTAACATGTTATCTAAGCAAAACATTCTCCTTATACAAGCTGATTGAAAATGAGATATCTTTTTAAATCTATTTTTGAATGAGATATTTTGATATGTAAACTTAGTATCAGAAATCATACACGTAAGCCGTTATATTACTTTTTATGGCTGTAATATTAATGATTTGCATTTAATAGATTAAAAAAAATATGACTAGCTTTATTGTCCAGTGAGTGTCAGGCCCCAGTGGTAAAACATAGCCTAATATTAATAGGGTTAAAAGGACCTCCACTGTCTGTACTATATGTGCATTATACCTACATTGCTTATACATTGTTTTTTCCCCCCTAGTATTAGCAATCTGCTTTTGTACTTTGACATCAGGGATTTCCCTTGTGAATTTTGTCACAGAAAAAAGAGAATCATCAATATCGCAGTTAAACTTGACTTTCAAAGCTAATAGTATCTCATTTGGGGGCTCAAATTTAATAAATTTTCTTTGATTCTGGGTGAGTTTTTAAACATCAAACAATGAATTGGCCAGGGTGCAGTAAAATATTTAGATCTATTGACTATGGTTCAGAAGGGTAGAAGGCAAAACACTGGTGGTTTGATGTTGATAAATTCTTAGTACCTTAATCCACATTAATGTTTTCTTTTATCTGTGTTGCATATTGGCAACACAAAGAGCCTGAAAACATGGCATATATACACTATAAAAATTTAAATCAAATATATATTTAAAATAATGTGTTTGTGTTATATTAAACAAGGTTAACATCTGACCAGAATTACACATACTGACAGAAGACCCTGGAGAATATGTTTGTTCCACAGGACTGTATATCCTGAACCTTGTACACTGTGTGTGGAAAAAAAAATGTGTGGAAGACCTACTCTGTTATAAAAATTGCATTATAGTGCATATGTTTGGCAGTCACAGGTATTGACAGGAATTCTTTAGGTCAACCTGGGAAATGTAAGGCTCCCTATTCCCATAGTCTTTGGGAAGGAATTAAAAATAACACATCTCTGGTCCTCTGTACGTTTACTCATGCACACTTGTTCAATCAGACTAGATTTAAAATGCTGTGATGTTGTTTGAGGTACATTCACCCATGTAATCAACAGCATTAAAAAAAACAATTTTGCAAGTGGTTGAATAGAAGAAAAATATATTATCTAGGACTTAAAATCAGTTGGAGTGGTTTGAATTTAGGGTTGATATGATATTTTGGATAGGTTGAGCTCTGAGTAAGAGAAGCTGCCTAAATTTATCTTTGTGAGTATTGTTAGTAAATAGTATATGTGCTTCAATATTCAGTAGTTTCTGTATTCCCTTTCAAAACTATGCCTTACTATAAAAGTAAAGTTCAGTGATTCTTCTGGTGTCATAAATTATTGTTTTTAACAAATATAACCTATGTCCCTAATTCTTAATATATATGTATGTTATTATATAAAGATACTACATATACTCGCTTTAACTACTAGAATTTTATTTTTGCAAGAAGTAAATCTATTACTGCTCTAAGAAAAACATATTAAACCTTTTATAAAATATAAAATTGCCTTTTATATTAAACCAATGAATAAAAATACAACAGTGCATACAATATGTAACACGAATATACGGTATGTGTTTGTGATCTAATAATAAATATACCCCACGCTATGTACTTGTGTTAGCAGGAGGTAAAGCATACTTCAAATTGATAATCAAAATATTTGTCCTGATGTGAAACAAGAATGTATTTGGAGGATTAAGGAGGAAAAATATTTCATGTGTTTATATTGCTGAAAATTTTACTTGTGTTTTTATTATCCACATAGAACATTATTTTATATAATGAATTAAGAAAACTTACTTGCTTAACCAGTAGGTGGCAGTGTGATACCAACTGCATATGGTTTCATTTGTAGACATAAATAAGTAGAACTCGCACATTTATAGTGTGATTTTGATTTATTTTTATTATTATTATTTTTATTTTTACCTTTTGGAATACTTAAGAAAAATCAAATTATCTAGACTTTGTGCAAATACTACAAGTTTTCGCTCCATATCTTGTTTAGAAAGGAATGCAACAAATTTGGCCAATACTAGTATGTATTCTTTTGTGAATCTGCAGTATGAAATCTAACAGGCATTGCAATTAACAGAAGGAAAAATCCTCCACAGGTAGATTTTGGTTTGATTTGGTTTGGTTTTAGGAAAGATTTTAAATTTTGTTCTAGAGTTCAATTGAATTTATAGTAGCTGAACCTGATTATGATGTAAAAATATCTCTCTGCAGCAGTCCAAATCAATTTTTTTCCTGGGTTGCTCCACAGTACTTTGTTAACGTAATGGTTCATAGTTTTGGGATAACAAACAATTATTACATTTTCTATTCCTTTGATTAGTTTTTTTTAGAAGGGATGAATCTGAAATTTGTAGGCGAGTTGATCTAAAGCTCATGGTGACTCTTCTTTCTTTCTCATTTCAGTCCAGAGGAGGATGCTTTTTCTTCTTAACATTCTCTCCTAGCACTCTGAATTAGAGATTTATTTGCAACGAAAAATCAATTAGTCCTAAATTTATTCATGGATTTCAGGTCCAGCGATCAATGCAAGTCCACTCAGTGGGCTCAAGGGGACCCAGTTCATCCCAGTTAATGTGTCTGAAGGGGAATTACCATTGATGCTGTTTTTTTTCCCTTTAGGTCAGAGATCAGATCTCGCTGTCACGGACTGCAGCAACCAGGAATGACTTCACCCTGCAGCTACCCAAACTGCACCTGGAGACCTTTGCAATGGAAGGGCTGAAGGGCGGGCCAGAGGTTGTAGCATTTCAGGTTAGACTCTAAATAACCTTCTTCTGCAGCTGAGATAGTATAGAAAAACAAAATAGCTCTACCTATGAGGAACAAAAGCTTCAAAACTGCTCCAGTCAGAAACTGGAAAGAGATGCAAACTAATCGCTTTACATATCCTTGAATGAATACAATTCAGGGATAATCAGGAGCTTTTAATACTGCAGATGAAATATTAAATAATTGGGTGAACATATCCCCCAAAATGCAAAATAGGTTATATTAAAAAAGTAGTGTTGACAGAAACCACCTTTCTTACATAATGTAATCTAAACCTAACAGAATAATATAGAAAAACAGTATTCCTCTGTTTCTTATAAGCTGTTTAAGAATGTTTTACTCTAACATTTAAGAAAGACTGAGACATTTAAACTATCAAGGAATCAGTTTTTTTAAAGCAGTACTAATTTAAAGGGAATTATTTATTTGGAATAATCAAGCAGAAGAAATATTTTGTCCATATAATCCCTGATTTTCATGTTTCAGATCTATAAAGTATTACTTTTTAGGAGGGGGAAACAAAGGAAAATATTATCATGTACTAAGAAATGACCCCATTTTAACTCTCTAGAAGTTGGTTGTTTACTTTTTTTTATCTTGTTGAGTTTATTTATGTACACAGTATCCCTTAGTCTTTTTATAGTAATTCAAAATGACTTCATTCTTGTTCCACATAATTGCTAAAGGCAGAAGAATTCTGTTTTTTGAATGAGAGAATGGAGAAGATGTTGAATAAATCTTTCTGTCAGTGTGCTCCTATATATGGGGAAAAATATCAGTCTTGTGTAAATTGTAGGGAAGTTCACTGCGGACATTGCATAGTGTGTGTACACTACAATTTAATGCAGTATAAACTGTATATTCTGTATAAAGTATGTCACTGCTGTGTCAGGGTCACAGAATTAATCACAAACATTAAGGAAATAGTGTTCAATCTGAAAATTGTATCCTGCCTTTGTACAAATGCATTATGGTCAGTTTTGTTAATTAAACGATTGTATAACATTTTCTTGAATAGTATCATATGGTATAATGCACACAGATTTTTTTTTGTAAAGCTAATTTCAGATAGCTTGTATTTGCAAGGAAAGAAGGAAAGGCTACAACTGTAGAGTAGCCACTCCTCAACGTAGTGATGGTCACTCATTCACTTTTGTGGCTAACAATGAAATTCTACAAGGTGTGTCTCTTCTAAAAGAAAGCCATGGTAAAACAAAGCTGCTGCTTTTTTAAAACTGCTTCCTTATGCCTTCCTGATTTGATAGCCTGTTGTAAGGCCACCTTCCCTTTCTTTTTCCATCCCTTTCTTTTTCCATCCTATGTCCCCAGTAATGCTAGGGAACCAGTTGAAAGACAGCTTGCCCTGTCTTCCATTCTAGGAGAAGGATGAATAGGTATTTAGGAATATAACTAGAGCTAGAAATTGGTGTTGCATTTGGCCTTGGATAAGTTATCCGTATGTTTGTCCTGGAATAAAAATATCCTGAGATCAGCATATATATTAATCACCATTCTAACCAGGGTTTAGTCAGCAGTTGACTGTGGTACTGCTTTTCTACCATTGGTTCAATGATGCAATCCTGGGATAACTATAGAGATACTTTGCAGTATCCCAGGACAAAATGTTACTGCCTCTTATCCAGGAAACTTTTAGGATTTATCCTGGGACAACAGACACAGATGTCTGTTTGATTGCACTTTGTTCCAGGATAACATGGTTTAGCAGTGTCTGTGTGCAAAACTTGACTTCATGCCTATGGACTGGGTGTTATCTGAATGGCTAACTGATGTTGTGATTTCACATGTACATGCTTCCAATCATGACAGTTATAATAGCACCTGGTTATTTTACACATAGACCACCTTTGCTGCTTATCCCAGTGAGATTCTTAGGGTTTTCTTTGTAATTGCATTTATTCAAAAGCAATTTGAAATAGTATCTTTGACATTAAAGTCAAACTTTGTGTAATTTACACGAAGTATTTGTTTGTTGTGTACCTGTTAATTGAGTGTTAATTTCACAACATGATACAAAATATATAAGGAACCTGTCCTTGAATTATATAAGTAGCAGTTCCTCATTAAGTAGTCCTATACTTAATCCTTAGTCTTGTGCCAATACTAGACAATCATTGAAAAATGTCAAGAATACTGTGATCCATATCTTGAAATTCACTTAAGAAAGGTGTACAAGGTTTCTTCTGTTTACAAGAAATCAACCATCAAGGCATGAAAATACCTAGCTACAAAATGAAGATAAATTGAACAGTTAACTGGTTGTTTAATTAGAAACCCAGTTATTTCTGGCATGATATAATGAAATGAGGATCAACCCAGAAGGCACTTTTTCCAATAAAAAGGATGGACATATACATAGGTTTAGAAAAGCAAAAGAGGTTCCTTAAGTACCTGCATGAAATGTAACTTAGTTGCCAAGAATATATAAAAAAAAAAAAAAAATACTTGTAAATTTCAGTCATAAAGTAAAACCAATCTTACAAGACCTTGAGAGAGTAATTTAAGATGGTTGATGCATGGAAAAAGACTGAATATCTTCAAGAATCAGCCCTTATCGGTTCTATAACACTGAATTCACCCTATGTGATGTGTGATTCGCTAGCAAGGGCATAGACCGAACAGTACTATGCACTAATGTTGGTAACACTTAACATAGTGTTCATCTGGCTGCTGAAACATGTGAGCTGAACCAACTGCATCCTGTTTCCAGCCTTGCATAAATGTAAACATCAAAGAGAAGAGATCCACATGTGAATCTTTGCAATCAGTGCAGGTAATAGGATGCAAAAGAGACACTGAAACAAACTTACGATGTTGGCCAAGGTTGAGAGAGGTCTTGAATTAAATTAGAAAGATTACTGTTTGTTAGGAACCACTCCTCTCCTAAAAAAAGCTGTCAGACTACACATAAAGTAGCAATGAAATCTGTTATAAGTCAGAGTTTTTCAAGTTGTTCAATAGATATCCACAATGAAAATAGGACCATTTTGACAATGCTTTTATCATCTTTTGAAGCATACCATAGCAAGCTGTTACTTTGCAGTCATTACTAAGAGTAAGGGTTTTTAAAATAAAAAAGAGATAGTAAAATGTCATATACACCATTTTATGTGGCTGACTACCTTTGAAGGTTTGTCTTGCAGGAATAGAAGGCATTTAAATAACACAAAAAAACCTGTTAATTAAACACATCCCAAATATTACCAATACTATTCTACTGTAAATAGAGGTAACACACACACATATTCATTAGTCATGAAAAGTACTAGGACCACCATGCTTGGTTGCAGTTGTCACCTCTGTGTTGGCCATGCAATAGGATAATGCAGAATTGTTTTGAGAGCAGGGTGTGACTATGCAATTATGCAGCCACTGAAGTTCAGATATGATAGTTTGTGGCACATGCAATTAGAGACGGACTAGTCAATTCCTTTATCATGGGCTCTATCTTGACCTCTATCCAAGAAATCTCTGTTTGCATGTTCAACTAATTGCTTCCATTAATTTATAGAGGTGGTTTTTGAGCTGGTATTAAATTGAATTTGTATTCCTTAAAAATTTGTGAACTCCTTAAAAAGGAGTATTTGCCAATGGCCATCCAAGTCTGATTCTTGTCATGTTATATCGATATTAGTCCCCTGTAAACAACCTGTGCCAGTTGATTGGGTGTTAGAAATATAATTCAGTCTTTTATCACCTTTTCATAACACCTTTATTACAACGAAGGAAAAATATTAATCAAAAAGTTAAAATGGAGGAAGATATGGAACTCATATTCCTTTGCGGTACAAAGTGTTCAGCTATTTGGTGCACAAAGACTTCACAATGGGATTGAGTGACAGTGGGGAATGGTACATGCACAAAGATGAGTTTGAAGTTGGTGTCTGATATACAGACTGTGCATGAATTGGAGGCTCCAAGCATGTGAACTTAATATATGTGGCTGGAGTAGTATGTACATTTTTAAAAATTTCATGCTATGTAAAAAAAAAAAAAAAGAAAGAAAGATATTATTCTCTTCTTTGAGGCTATGGAGCATATATTTGGTTGTGTGCCTACATTTAAGTACATAGTTTGGGTGACCATGGAGAGATGAGTGAATTCTTTGATTCATAGCTAAAACATTGCCTTGGTGTGATGTTAGGAGCTAATACACATGAAGACGTGCTTCTATTCAAATTAGTCACCAAACTGACCCTGAACAGGTCTAGTCATTGAAATCCACTGTATTTTCACAGACATCAGTAATGTTAGCTTTGGTGCCCTGACAGACCTACTTTATACTGAATAAGTCTCCTGTATTTTTTGCATCGAATACTGTGCTCCTCCGTTCCTTTCTTAAATTACATGTACTGTTGGAATGCGCTGCTAAAGTGCTTACCATGTTCTTGTTTGAAAGATTTTGTCTCTTGCGTGCGCGTTAGAGATGTAGGATATGTGATCTCTCTTTTTCTTTTCCTTCAATCTTATACTTGTATATGTGTGTACCCATATAACTTTAGCGATGGCACATGTAGTTTAAATATATCTTACAGTTTCTAAAGTTCTTTGAGATTCTTTGGAATGAAAAGTGCTATATGAACACAACATACTATTACTATTGTAGTTTGTAGTAGTAATATAGTTGAGTACTGACATCTTTTCTCAATGATGGAATATAATCATTATAAATTTATAAGGGGATTAGGTCTTTCCATTTATTTTATGTAAATTATGCATCCATGTATGATGTAGTTGTGGCTTATCATACTGTATTGTAGACAGAAGTAAAACCCATTTTTCTAATCAATTGGGCAAGCATAAATGTAGTTTAAAGTGTTAGGAACATAGTGAATAGCTTGTACTTATTTTCATTCTCTCTTGCTTTCCTCAGTAATTTTAGATTTACTTTTAAATAAATTAGAAGCTAAGAGATTTTACATAAATAATTTGGTTTATTGTTTTCTTTAGAAAGGGATAAACAC